TCGCGGTGGGTCTTCACATCGAAGTCTAAATGGAAAGGCGCCCTCCGCGGCTGCAAAATGAACGTGGCAACTGGAGGGTCGGACGGCTCCAAAGTAAACAAGCAAGCTGTGTGATCCCCACGTAATAAAATAAATAACGTGCAAAATAGAAATATATTTATCAGGCTATGGGATATATAGTTCACATTAATATCATACAGGGTTACCATAAGGGTTTGAAAGGCCTATCATAGTTTGTAAGGACCATCATATCATGATGTTTTCTAACACTTGAGGGCGCTGTTTGACGGGGTAATCCACTGTAGATTTTTTGGATACGTGTCAAAGTGACATTTAGCCTTTTTAAAACATTTCCCCTACCACAATGAAAGGACATAAAATGAACATTTCTGAAAATTGAATTCCCCTTATCTGGAGCCTATGGAGTCGTTCAGACACCGTGTTAAATTCCCTTAAAACACCGGTTGAACTCGATCACGGATCCTACACACAAGGATTAACGACTCGGCCCAACTCCTGGTTAGACGCGTGATAACGGCCCGTACTGGTGGCAAATACCATGAATACTTTTCAACAAAGACCACTGCGCGCGGTGGCTTAAAGATTGCAAGGCTCTGCGCTCGATCTGGCCTCGAAGCCTGTCAAGCCAGCGAATTATATTTTTGAATATTCATGAGTCTACGTTTTTGGTCTTTATTATTGAATTCTGATAAGTGATAACTACATAACCATGGTAATGCCGAGCCGGCACAATATCTTTAGCTTTAAGATGAACAATGAAATGTCGCTTTTGTTTCATCGGTTCGGCATCTTATCTCTCTAAAACTTTTTAATAAAAGCTTATTAAAAACGAAATTTGGGTAAACGGTGTTCTCGTTATTTGACGTTTATTTCCCGGGTAAATACTTCATTTTTGACGATAAAAACTGCACAATACCATTCGTTATATCCTGAAGTATTTATTTTTAAACAATTTTTGGAACAATTAAATCTTAAATAAGGAGTAGTTTTGCTTACATTTTTATGAATATTTCCGTTTTAGATGTCTTGCAAAAACCCAACACAATAGGACACCTGGAAAATTCGCGATTACGCGCCAACGTGTATTAATGCCTGTTATCACCCGTCTAACCAATTAAGGCAAGTCCGCTCAGTGCATTTTGTACTAGAGCTCAGAACAGTCGTTTATCCTGGTGTCTAGGATCCGTGACTCGATTCAGTGTAACTTTTTTTGCTAAAACGATGTCTGAACGCTCTTTTATTTAGACCGAATCGAGTTCAACTGGAAAATAAAACGGCAACTTAAACCCCCTCGGAGGGAGGGTTTAGCGAATAACCAGAACGAATTTATCTCCTAGTACGATGTCTGAACGGTTTTATCTAAAACGCTGCCCGTTTAAGCCAGCGCAGTGACCCGGAGTTACGTAACGCCTTCTCCGTGGCGCGCTTTTGTATCAAGCAAACAATGTCCTAATTCTCCTACCGTTAAAAAAAATCCAATTTCAAGTCCAATTTCCGCAAGTTTTCTGACCACATGGTCCCAGTTTCACATCGTGCTCCCTCGATCGCACACGAACACACGTACGATGCGATGACAAACATGTAGATGCCAACGCAATAACCGCTAACCGGAGCGTAATTATCATAATACACTAATATATTCAACTACCAGGAAAACCTTGGCGTTGATTGGTCAATATTGCGACGTTAATATCAAGTGTATTTTCACGTGACTGACATATTGTGCCGGCAAGTTGTCAAGTTGATGCAGTAAACCTTGAGTGCAGTGGAATCTGTTCAATGACGTGTTTGTTAGAACATTTTTTTAATGTCTTTTTGCACCACGAAAGGTACAGAAAATAGCCCCGAAATGTAAACACAAATGGTGTAAAGCCGATACGATACTTGGAAAAAAAGGGGAAATCGCCGCGGTGGACAAGTGACTGTCGTCACGTTTACCGCGTGCCACACTACATGACCGGCCGAGGCTGCGATGTCAAACACGGCATGGCAACACGCATCACACGGTGAGGGGCTCAGATCGCGTGTAGCTAACTGTCAAAATGGAAGAGTGAAGGCTCTTTTTAGCGCGCGGTTTTTGCCGAGGCGGATGTTCTACGTGACCTTAGAAACCGTGATAAACTGCTTCGAGTTGAACTTGCTATACTTAAAACGATGTCTGGACGATCGGTAGTTTTATTTTTACGACGGGCCTCCCGTGGCGAGCGACCGTTTTAACTTTTACCGTTTTATCTAACACGGTGTCTGATTACTTCGCAATCCTTCTTATCAATATTCTATTTGAATAAGCGTAAAAATCAAAAGGGCTTTACACGTCTTTAAAGGTGCGGATACTAAAATTAAAAAAGGGGAAGTAAGAAAGTAAAGTGCATTTCAAGAAAATTGAATCACGGAAAAAACTCCTTTCAAGGCGTATTCTTGATAAGATGAAGCCCAGGCCTAAAGATAATGCTAGTTACTTTGCCTCCAAATTTGCATAAAACGTTAGCAAACAAATCATTTCAGCAATCTGGTTTTGCTTAGGCCTACATATGCACTTTTAGTGCAATTCCTACGGTGAATCCTGCTCATAAAAATCCCCTGTTTTAGTGCGTCATGCTTCTCATTTGGTATGTAGAAACGACATTTCTGAATTTCCATGTATTAAAGGACAACATAGTTATTATTATAGTCACGTGTTCAACTTTTTTTTATAGAGTAGAACCACTTACATTTGGTGTCGTCGAGATTGCCTTGTTTACCACGGCACTCGGTTCTGAAAGCCGCGAAAGCCTTCTCACGAAGCGCGGCCAGATTGATAAAGTTGATAAAAATGCTTTAGAACTACCAAAGCGACAAAACGCTAACATTTACAAAGGCTAGTTCAGACTGTAAGTACACACAATGAAAAATTGCTGTGGAAGTTTTGCATGCCCAGTAACAAGGATTAAAAAATACTGTAATTAATACACCATGTAATATTGTATCACTCCGTGTCCAACCGACCAAAATGAATATAGTTACACCTCTATGTTCCGACACCCCTATGTTCCGACTGCACATATTCCTATTCCTAACCCTAACCCTAAGCCTAACCCTAACCCTAACCCTAACCCTAACCGGGAGTAACACAATCTAGGTTGTCGGAACATAGGGGTGTCGGAACATAGAGCAGTCACCATTAGGGTTGTGGTTTTACGCGCAGCAACTCTATACACTTAAAAATACTACATTAAATACACCATGTATACAGGTTTTCTCGGCCAATTTCCTGAAATGTTCATTTCACTTTTGAAAATCGATCATTCCTTTTCGTCTGAATTTTGAATGCACGTATTTAATCCCATTTCAGTTCAACGATAGTTAATTCGTTTTCATTGTCCGTGCATTTGGTTTTGAGAAACAGACGGCCAATTACGCTACCTGTGCATTCATTTACACAAGCATACCTTTTCCAAATTGATTTCCGGTACAGCTAATTTGATTGACGGTTAAAAAAGAAACCCCTAATTGTTTCTGATGCCGATGGCATTAAAATAAAAGTAAAATAGAACAGTAAATGTTTGAAATCGCCCTCTAAAAGCGAAAAAGAAGTCTTGTAAACGCATATGAATGGACATAAACGAAAGGCGCTGCTCAATCACTTAATTGATTGAACTGAAATGGAATCGAATGCTCTGGTAGCGAAAATGAAACGCTTGTTCAGAGCGATTCTCCATTTCAGACGGAAATGAATGACCGATTTTCAGCAGTGAATTAACATTTTGGGAAATTGGCCGGGAAATACTATATTTTACACAGGAGCGTGTTTTTATTTCAGCCATATTCATCTTTTGTGTACATTTTCAAAAGATACGGTAATCTTGAAGAATGCTGTTAAAATTGTTAATTACAAACGTATATAATAGCCGTCTTTACAACTCTTCAGTGATCGAGAAACAAGCAAAACAGAAAAGTCCCATTTTATATGTGGATACTGTGATACATTGTGTGGGGTGTATATACGTCCATATGAACGTTATAGCTAGTCATTCAGTATGTACCGGCATGGGCGTCAATCCTGGGGGGGGGGGGGGGACAGGGGGACATGTCCCCCCCACACTTTTTGAAGGATGGGGGACACAATATCAACCCCCCCCCCCCCCAGATTTTTGAACTCATTTACAGGGTCCTATACTACAGTGTATTTTTTGCTAAGAAAATATTGGTTACAGTGGTCAGAAATTGCCTCTGATCGCACCACAGAGAATTTAGAATCCAATATTTTTCGGGGCCTTAAGCGGGCCCCGAACCCCACGCAAATAGCTGAGAATATAATAAAATATGCAATGACTTCAACCTTGAAAATAATGTTTAAATTATTATCTCTTGCTAAGAAAATATTGGTTAAAGTGGTCAGAAATTGCCTCAGATCGCACCACAGAGCGTCTAGAATCAATTTTTTCGGGGCCCTTAAGCAGGCCTCGAACCCGACGCTTTAGCTCAGAATAGCTGATTCGATGACTCCAACCTCGAAAACGATGTTCAAATTATTATCTTTTGCTAAGAAATTATTGGTTAAAGTGGTCAGAAATTGCGTAAGATCACACCACAGACCATCTAGAATCGCATTAGTTCTGATCAAGGTATGTCCCCCACTTTTGAGAAGCGATTGACACCCTGTGTACCGGTATGTGTTAAGCCTTACCATTACGGATAACTTATTAACATTACAACTGTACCTTCGTTTACATGATATTAAAACGAATTGAGATCACAAGCAAACCTAAGAAAATTTTTCTTCGCTATATATGCAATTCAATTCAATTTTCAATTCAACAGAACACTTATTCAATACCTGCAACAGTGATAAATATACAGGAATAACACAATTATGTAAACACTTAGTGTAATGCTAAATGAATGTCACAAAAAGAAAGAGGATAAATACATACTCGAAATAAACTCCTCTATAAATAAACTGATACTCAAACTCCAATAAAAGTACACAGACACAAAAGTTGTGTGAGTATGTGCCACCGCTTCAAGTTTAATTTAAGAATATTAATCGGAATACCAAAAAGCAGGGCAAACCGGAAGCATTAGGCGTTACCCCCGACCACCATAACTCCGACCACCATAACTCAACAATGAATGACTCAGTGATAAGCATAAGCACAATATAGACAGTGATACCAATGACCACTATCCATCACAAACCATCAACAAAGAGCGCAACACTGTAAATGTTCTCTACTCAATTGGAATCGCTTCAGTAAAACCAAAGACCATAAAGGTCAACAAATTAGTTATCCGAGAAAACTTTCTTAGAATATTGAAAAATTCTCAAATGCCTCAACTTACGTATTATGTCAACTGTCTGTACCTCGTATTACATCACACTCATTCTGCCCATTGCTTTTGTACTCTTAGGCACAGAATTGGTAGAACACCCAGTCCGCAGGTACATATGTCCAAGAACTTATACCGACGTATACGGGCGTTGATATGTGGCGATGATGATACGCAGCGGCGTCCCACTCCAAGAAAGCCTCCTCCTGTCCTCCTTTGCCGACGGTCACCACGCCGTGTTTGTACTCCATCCAGAAGGGGCGACTTTCACTGTCGACGACGATATCTACCTCGATGTGCTCTGAACGCCCACCCAGCAACTGCCCACATTCCGGCGAGCCAAAGATGAAGCAGGCACGGATGGCCGACCTCTGTCTTGACCAGCCACCTATGGCTGTAGAATGAAAGAGTATCAAACAAAAGTTGGAGGTGTCATTAACTGAATATGGTAAGTGTCATTTTCCAAACAGATAAAATCTCTTTTCAATGAGATTTAAATCACTTCCTCAAGAAAGCTCTTTTGCGTGCGATGGTATCACGAGATGTATCTTATTATGCATGTCCCTATCCGAACTCCATTAATTCCCCCAGGCCGGTGATCGCACGTCTTGATTGGCTCTTGTGATACATTTTTAAAGAGAGAACAAAATTAAGTGACTAAACAATAAATCAATGACACTCACTGATCCAGGCAAAGACAGACGCTTCTGTCTTTTCCTCCGCCAGGACTATTATGGCATCGCGGTGGGTCTTTACATCGAAGTCCAACCGGAAAGGCGCCCTCAGCGGCTGCAAGATGAACGTGGCAACTGGAGGGTCGGACGGCTCCAAAGTGAACGAGCAAGCTATGTGAACCCCAGGTCATAAATAAACAGATAATACATAAATATATTTATCAGGCTATAGGATATGTGTTAATAAGAAGATTTATGCTACACATTAATATGACACAGGGTTATCACTTGGGCTTCTATAGAACTATCACTGTTTGTATAAGAACCATTATATCGTGGTGTTTTCTGCCACTTGAGGACGCTGTTTGAAAGGTAAATCCTCTGAACAGTTTTATAATTATTGGTGAAAGAGACATTTATACTCTTGCACATTCCCCTGTGCATCAATCGAAAAAAAAACGCATGTTAAAAACAAGAACATTGCCCAAATATAGAGCCCCTTTTATCTTGATACTGTGATAACTTCACTAAAAAAGAAAGACCAAAGGCGTAAACAAAACCCAAAAGGTCTTTAAAAGCATTTTTAAAATGGCGATAGTAAAACTAAAAAAAGGAAATTTAAAAAAAACAATTGCATTTCAAGCAATTTGAATCATGCGAAAATTTGATTTCATGGTTCTTTAAAGGATCATATTCTTAGTCCTACTCTTGGTTACATTCATTGTCCTATGGACCTGTTCTTGATTACATAAAGCCCCATGTGAAATATTATGATTTAAAGACTAAAACTAACTCCGCATTCTAATTGCACACGTTTCGTATACACTATAGAAAACAGTCATTTTAGAAATCAAACTTTTGCTAACAAATGCCTTTATAGTGCAATTCTTAAATTGATGCTTTACTTCTCATGAAAAAAACACCTTTTTTGTTTCAATGCGCTTCGTGCTTCTCATTATGTTATAAGTATACAAACAATTCTTGAGTTTTCCCCGTTTGACAGCATTCTATAATTGCGCTTTCAACATATTTTGAGTAGAATTACTTACATTTGGTGTCGTCGAGATTGCCTTGTTTACCGCGGCACTCGGTTCTGAAAGCCGCGAAAGCGTTGTCACGAAGCGCGGTCAGATCATCACCGGGTGCAGCCTTGATCATGGCGCTACACATCTTCCCTTGTACAGGTAGCAAAGAGAGGGAACATAAAAGCCCTAAAGTCCAACTGAAGACCAACATTTTCCGCGGGTTTTTCACATCAGCCAGCAGTTCTTCACTTATTTCTGCGTCAAAACAGGGAACGCGCACTACTCCCTTGCAAGACTGGCCTTGCGCCTACAAAATCGACTTGTCGTCATACAGCTTCTACGGTATACGTAATAATGGTTATTGTGTCCCCAGCATGCAGCACTCCACTTAACAATACAGCTTGCTCTTAGTTAATTACAAAAAACGTGCCATCGGCTCCTTCATCGATTTACCTGAGTTTAATTGCCCCCTTTTCATAAACGGGTACGTGTTGATGCTAGCCTTCAACTCTATTTCTTCTTTTATCGCTTGACTGCCACTCGCTCTGTGTCCAACCGACCGATGTAAATGTAGTTTAATATTACCGTTGAGTCTGGCACGTACAATTTCACTTACAAATCCTGTTTTGCACCATATACCATTACACGAGAGCGTATTTTTCAGTGATATATTCAATCTTCGTTTTTATTAGATGTGGTAATCTTCAAGATCGTTGTTATAAATCACACATTTTTATTGTGCGTCTTACAACTCCTTTGTGGTCTAGAAACTAGCAAGACAGAAAATCACTCATATGTATCATATTACATTGTGTATGCGTTGATACGAGGTACATGTATATATTCAGAATTCCGGTGCACGCTGCCTTACGTCCTGAGACAAATACACCAACTTGCAAACCTTGACCATTCAACAGTTATGTATCAAAAATGATAATAGTGTTTCATCCAATCACTGACCTGCAACCGACGAGTCAATGTCAATGCTGCTCGCTTGCATGTCTTAATAGTATTTGCCATTTTCTACGATGGTCGCGGAGAGCGGTGTACGTAGCACTCGGGGTGCTTCTGGCCGTGTTCACGGCACCTACACGCGTCCGCGGATTGTAACAACTCGCAGAGGGCAACCTTTAGCGCGAAATGCGTGATTTTCGTGGGCGGCCTGTTCGATTTCCCGGGCAGCCCGCCAACAAGAGGTATAGCGCAGATCTCGTCCACAGCTTGGAAGGGATTCTAGACGGGTACCATCTTGGAAAGAATTGGGGGTTTGGTGATGTTAAGTTGATTTTGAGCCTTTACTTTCGCAGTAAGATTCGCTCTGAAGATGACAGAATCTAAATAAATTCCCTGTCACTAACGCTTCGTGAAATTCTGCAAAGACTTAGGGTAAAGCAGAGAATTCCAGAACTTTGGGTTTTTTTAAGTTATTTCGCAAATGCGAGATCGCATTCCGGTCAATCACAGACGAAGCAGGCACGGTTGCCCGACCTCCGTCTCGACCATGCAGCCGCCTATGTCTGTAGAATGAAAGAGTATAAAACAAAATGTTTTGGTGTCATTAACTGATATGGAGCCCAGAAAGGTCATTGCGATTTTCCCACCAGATGAAATCTAAGTTTCAGTGCGATTGTAAATCACCTCCAGAAGAAAGCCTCATTGCAAACGATGGTATCACGAGGTAATATAAAGGTTGCATGTCCCATTCCGAAATCCATGAAATTCCCCTCAGGCCGTTGATCCCACACCTTGAGCAGCTCTTGCGATACACTTAAAAAAGAAAGAAAAAAAAGTAACTAAACAATAGTTTGGTGACACTCACCTATCCAGGCAAAGACAGATGCGTCTGTCTTTGCCTTTGCCAGGACTATCATATGGCATCTTGGTGGGTCTTCACATCGAAGTCCAACCGGAAAGGTGCCCTCAACGGCTGCAAGATGAAGGTGACAACTGGATGGTGGTTGGACGGCTCCAAAGTGAACAAGCAAGCTGTGCGATACCCCGATAATAAAGAAAAAACAGACAAATCCGAAATATATTGTAGCGATTATCATGGTTCAGGATGTATCACAAAGTGCAATAGAACTATGGGCCTCATCCGTTTGATTACGAGTGGATCGACTTCCAACGCTGCCCTTCATCTATACAAGACTCTTGTTCTACCTATATTGGATTTCTGTTCTCCCATTTGGTGGTGTACAGCAAAAAGTACATCAAATATCAGTTTATTTACGTGAGTTTACGGGTTGCTGAACGTCAAAAACGACATTTCTAAAAAATATTTAGATTGCAGTAGACCCTTTGATTATTTGCTAAAATGTCTCTATATATGTATTATTTAAATAATACCTCACCTTCAATCGGCCCTTTACTTTTGTTTTCTTAGGCACATAGAACAGCACCCGATTTCATCAAACTCGTCGTAACTTACGATGCATCGCAGCGCTGCGACGCGTCGTATCCCTTTGCTTACACAAAGCGTCATGCCGTTGTTAGTCAAAGCTAATCCGATTACGTACTTAGACGGTATAACAGAGCAGTGAAATTCATGCACCCCAAAAAACATGGCATTTTGAACGTCGTGTTTCTCAGAAAATATGCTCAGTATGATTGAAATGTTAAAATATAACAGAAGAAGAAATTCTAAACTTAATGTCAGTGAAAAAAAATCGCCGTCATCGAAGCCAAAACGTCAATACTTGTTACTGGTAAAGCTGACCTTCAAATCTGGAAGAAATCGTTCGAAAACGTCCCCAAATCTATGTATTTATATCTATTTCTAGAAATTTACGAAAGTTGTTATTTCACGAGTAGTTGAACATTTATATCATCTAAGTATATTCCAAATTTCAGCTTAATCTGTTGTTGCATTATTTTCTTCTTTTATCGTTTACCTTACTCTCTTACCACTGTGTGTCCACCGACCAAAATGAGTCCAACTTTTGCGGTGGAAGTTTTGCATGCATAGTATTAAAAATGATATATTGAATACATCATGTAATAATGTCAGTCACGAGCATGTTTGTCTTTCAACGATATTCACCACCCGGTTTATTTTCAATAGATATTGAAGAATGCTGTTAAAATCGTTAATTACAAATGTTATAGCCATCTTTACAACTCTTCAGCGATCTAGAAACGATTTGTTAAACCTTAATATTATGAATTTTTCCAATCTACATGATATCAATCGAACTGAGATCACCAAAAGACGAACCCGATTACATATTTTTTTCTCGCTACTTATGCATCACTATCCCATAAATTGCACTTGCTTCACAAAATGCTTTATAAACAAAATGACACCACAACAAAACCCAGCGAACACTTAACGATATGGATCAATTACAAAAATCCATCCGTAGGCCTACTTTATTTTATACGATATTAAAACGAACCGAATTCAGAAAATAAACTATACATTAATTGTCTTCGCTATAATACATCACTCCTCTACAATAACACTTGCTTGACAATACTTGGGGAAAATACACAACGATATATCCCCTGTCTAATTAAATCACTTCCAAGACTATAAGACCGTGTTTATTTGTACGGTATTAAAATGAATTGAGATCACAAACACAGCCCTACAGTCATTGCTACGCTATGATACATCTTTCCTAGTCCTCTACAACTTACACTTGCTTGGAAGTGGTGAATAAAGGTGGTTTATAACTAGCAAAGTGACAAAATATAAGAGCAAAATTTGGAAATT